TGTTGATTCACACTCTTCTGCTTTGCAGTACTGTTTAGAATTTTTAATAGTCACTTATAAAATAGATTTTTCTAAAATAAAAGAGACGATTTTCGAGTTATACCAACTGACGAATCTTTGCATCACTATTGCATTAGTTCACGAATAAACGGAACTACAATCGAACTCCTAAATAACAAAAACAATGGGACAATGGAGTCAAAGAATCATTTCGTTATGGAGTAGATTTGTTTTAGAGGAGTCTCCATTACAGAGGAGCTAATAAATACGATATAGAGAATTGTCTTTAGAGAAGAATAAATGTTAATATCGACGGTGTTGCTGCAAAACGTTCTATGCCAGCTATTACCTCTGGTGTTTGAGTGATTTTTTACGTGTATCTGAATGCTTCCGTCAAGAAAAAAATTGCCTTTATTTCGTGTGTGTGTGTCCAAGGAATTTTTTGACTTCTGTGACAGCCTGTTCCCTCGCTTTTTCCTCAAGAAACAAAAATTTTAATGTTACAAAAAAATTTCGTTTTAGTGGAGTCCTCACTATAGAGGGATCCGACAGTATTAGAAAAATTTGTTCGAGGTCTTTCAACATAAATCCTCTCATTTCATAAAAGATGCTTATGTAAAATAAATAAAAATGCCCCTATTATGGCAGAAGGATTGCTCTTTCATATGAGCCTGTACGACAGTTAAAAAAAACTAAAAAAAATTACACCTTTCTAATTATAATGCAGTTGTTTAAAAGAAAAAATTATTCCACTGAGATATTCTCTATAGGGAGATTATTTATACGCAGACATACATTCGCATTTACATATATGCATTTATATGGAACAACCCCACCGCTAGTTATTTATCGATTTTCCGCTACCAAGCAACCTATACGCTCATGTAAAAACACAAACATTTGTACTATATACCAGTGTTGCCGTTTTAGCCTCTTTTCCGGCTAGATTTAGCCGGTTGCGATAACAAAAAGCCGGAGAAAATTCGATTTAGCCGGCAGCCGATTTGTTAACCGTTTTGCAAAAAAAAAGTTGCCGTTTTTAGCCGATTTCGAAATTATGAAAATTCTGGCACTTACTGTTGATTATTGACAATTTTTTGTTGACGGTGTTCCGCATTTTCCTCCATATAAAAAATTTTAGAACATACTTTGTATGGAAAAAATTCGTAATACCGTTACAAAAAAAATTACAAAAACAACGGCAAGTCCTAGCTACTTAAAGTTGAGTAGTCAGCTATATTTCATAAAAAGTAATAAACACTAAATTAACTAAATAAAAATGGCCAACACTTGCTAAAATCTCGCGTCCCATTTTATATTTGGGTCACTGTGTTTTTTTCCCAAAGAAGGATGTAGCAGGGACTTTCTTTATAATTTTTTTTTATGAATGGCTTAAATTTAAGCGCGAAGTTTTATTCGCATCACTTACAAAATAACGAGTGAGATTAAGAGGGCATGAATATCGATGTGAAGTAAAACTCTATGGGAACACAATACCTGTGAATAATTGTATGATGGTGCCAACACACTTTATTGTTGCTTATTATTGCTCTGAGACAGGCATGTGAGAGCGTGAGTGGGACAATAAAAACATGAGTATAGATAGACATAAAAATACAATTAAATAGTAGACTTGTTAAAAACTTAAAAGGCGGCCGGCTTGTTCGATATAAATTAATAGCGTTTTCTTTTTTCGAAATAATGTTGGCCTGTTTTCTTCAGCCCTTTCACAGCTTCACGTGTTCATTTCTCAAAATATTGCACTCCGACTGAGCAAAATAAATTCTACTAATAGCTGTATTTTTTTGTAACCGAGCGACAAAAGAACGCTCAACTCGGGTAAAATTTCCTTGGCCGAGTTTGTGTTGTTGCTTTGCGTGTATTTCGTCATTTGAGCGAGTGTTCTTTTGTAGCTCGGTTGCAAAAGAATGGACCTAATATAGCCATTTTTCAGGAAGAAAAGTAACCAAGTTACAATTTAAGGCAAACGTTTTTATAAAAAAGAAAATGCCATACGTTTGTAATTGATATTTTTTTATATTTAAATAATACAAACATGACTTCTGATGTACGTATAACGATAACGACAGTTTCTTTTGTTAAACAAAAATAATGTGTAATGAATTTACCAGTCTCTGTTTTTGTGGTTCATTTAACGAGTGGTGTAAAGCTTTGCTACGTATAACCTTTGTTAACTCAAAAAAAAAAATAAAATTATTTTACTAGTCTTTCGACTTGCGTTTTCTTTAAATAAATCATGTGAATTTTAGTTGAAACATTTTAGTCGTTTTTAGCCGCTTGTTTTGCCAATATAGCCGGTTGGCCAAAAAAGTTCTGGCAACACTGCTATATACATAAAAACATAAATACATACAACAAACATAAGTGTTTGCACACACACACCCACAACAAGCCGGAAAGCAATGCATGTTTGTCAGCAATGAATGTGTTTTTGGGAAAGCCTGCTGTGAGGCAAATAGCCATACTGCTGGCAACTTTAATGTGCATACCTACAAAAAATACTTGGATGCTTTTAAATGTAGGCAAATAAGTGGAAACATATGTATGTGTGTATGTAAGCTATCTTGTATGTAAGCTTTTTTGAAAGCATTTCTTCCAACATCACACGCCAACGCGCTTTTTTTCTTTCTAAATGTATTTGTGTCACTTAGAACGCTTTTTTTATGCAATGAAAAAGTAACAACAACATTTGCATACATTAATTTATATAACTTTAATAACCGATAGCAACTTCAGCCAGCGAAAACCTTTATTCATGAATTCTTTTTTGAGTTGCGTCTGGTGCGTCCGTCTGGTGCGTTGGTGTGATACACGTAACATCCACCACTAGTATTGATATGTTTGTGTAAATAAAGTACAGTTAAATTGGCTCTTAATTTAATCTACTTATGTATATCGAAATATTTGTTTGCAATTTCAATAGCGTACTTGATGTATCGAATGATGTTCCTTCCTCCTTCCCCAGATTTCTGCAGGAGAAGGCACATCCCTCTAACCGTAGTTATTCCACAGCATCAATGTTGTACCGGTTATGCCACAAACTGATAATGCGCAGCACATCGGATAATGCCGTTCACAAATTTATTTAATTCCCTTCAATATTACCTTGCTCGCGATGTCTGCAAAGAATAGTATATATTGAGCCAGCACAGCGCGAAAACCCTCTACTAAAGTGGAACAAATCTAAGAAGATATTTCTTTGGGTTTTCTTTAAAAAAAAAATGCCTCCTAATTTTTGGCGGGATTATCTTTTCAATGAGTGACAGTTAACAGATTTACCTACTCGGCCACGGTGGTCGCATAACCGACACTAATCTATTTTGGGCCAGTTTTTCAGTGCGATTTTTATTCTGTTTGTTGTTTAAACTAAGTTTGAACTCAGTGTGCAGTTTTTCAGTCCAATTGAAACGTAGTTTAAACTTTGAACTTAAACGCCCAATCTGGCTGAGTTAAAGCGAGTTCAAACTATCTGCTGTAAAGTTGTATATTTGTAGTCAGTTGCCAAAATTTAGATGAAAGATGAGGAAAAAATTAAAATGGCTTGCGAAATACACGAAAGCAGACTCACTTGTATAGCAGTACATAGTACATAAATAAGTGGAATGTTCATACGGAAAATGAAAATTGTGCTCAAGAAAATTAACAAACGCAGTTTGAGTTAGAATTTACTTGCATAGGGCAATTTGGTTGGACAACACATGAAGCACCTAACAAATTCTTTAAATTTCTGTCTATATTCTTACATAAGTTTAAATGCGATCGTGTCAAAAGTGAAAATAAATAGCTGAAGTTTTGTATCTGCTTAAGGAAAAAGTAGTGTTGCCCTACCAACCAACCAAACCATGAAGCGGCCTTAAACCAGCACCGAAAAACTGATCATAATGATATAAATTTTAAAGGATTTCAAGCAGTTTTCTCTATGATTTTTTAAAAATTTGTGAAAGCAATAACACCGATTTCAAATCTGTGATTGAAATTTTTGTATGAGCTTTAGTTTACGAAATATGAAACATGGAGTTTCGTATTTTTTCCATACAATGCACTGTGGGAAATTTGAGCCTTTTTTGTGGCCAAAAGTCAATTTCTTGACTTGCTTGAAATTAATTTTTTTTTTGTTTAATTAACAAAGTTTATTTAGTGTTTTAAACAAATGTTTAAAAACGTTTAAGAAAACTCATCATAAATCGGTAGAATAGTCCCTGATCTCCTATTTCCCCATAATCTTATACTGCGATTTTGTGCGATATTAAAGAAATTATAATTTTTCTTAGGTAACTACTTGGTACAAAATCATGAGTTTTATGAAATATTCATATTATAATTTAAGTGTTGGAAAAAAACCTGTCGGACAACAAAGAGAAAGCAAGGCCACTACTTCTAGTCCTACTACTGGGCCAAGTTTTAAATTGATATCTCAACTTTTAGAATTTTGGCCACAAAATAGGGTCAATTTTCCCATAGTGCATTGTCATGGAGTTGGGTGCTGTCGGGTGAAGTTCTTGTACTATCTCGGATAAACCAACTCAATCGCGCCTCCCCTTTCTTGTCCATCCTCTGACAAAGCCAATAGACAACCATAAAATATTCGCTAAGAGATTCATTAAAATTTTAACTAAGCAATTTTCCCAAAAAATGCATTTAATTTTTGCAATCCGTATTCTTCATTCACTTATCGCATAACCCATCCAAGTACACTAACAAATTCATAAAACAAAAAAGAAATGTAGTTAATTAAAAAATATCTTCATTAACAAAAAAAAAATAAGTGACCTCACCAATAATAAAGGAAAAAATTTATAAAAAATTAAATAATTGAAAAGCAGAACAACAACAAAACAACAACAACAGTAACCACGAATCTCTGGCAAGGCGAACCCAAAAAAAACAACGCAGAACAGATAAACAACAACCACAACAACAAATTGTGTGCAACAACAACAAGTGCAACGCTAACACACACAGTTAAAAAAAATTCATGTAATAAAACACAACAGCAAGAAAAACAACAGCAAAGTGTTGAAATGGACTCGTCGCTGCAGCTGTATAAAATAAATTCCAAATGTCTTCCGGAATAAATTGTCGTGAAATTTTCGTATTTTTGGAAATTTTAATTTGGAACCAAAGGGATCACCAAAAGAAGAGAAATCAACAACAACCACAACATAATAATAAAAAGCAGCAACAGCAACAGCAACAGCAGCGATTTAACAGCAACAATGACAGTGGTCAGCAGCAACAACAACAACAACAGCTTGACAACGCAGTGAAAGTGTTAAAGTGTAAAATTAAAAATAATAATCACAAAAGTTTTAGCAATAACAGCAGCTGCAACAACATCAGCATCAGCGTTAGCGGCGGTAGTCAAAGCGATTGTAGCTGCAGCCAAAAAATCAACAATTATCAGCAAAGCGCTGGTCATTGTCAGCGGCAACAGCAGCAGCAACAACAACAACAACCACAACAACAGCATTTAAATTATTTCCAGCAACAGCAGCAGCGGAATAACGCCAAAAGCAACAACAACAACAATAATACGCATTTAAATCATTTCAAATTGTTGCAAAATCATATGAAAAACGCACCACGCAAAACCTGCACAAGCGTCCAGCAATAACAACCACAGCAGAAAAAAAGAGACGAGAAAAGCATAAAAAATAATTTTTGGCGAAAAAAGAAATTTCAACGCTTTCAAAGGGGAAATAAAAATTAAGAAATTTCTATTCACAAAACAAAGAAATTCCGCCAGCTCGGCGCAGCGAGCAGGCGCCCAAGCGGCATGCGTGCGTGAGTAGGTGTGTGTATTTGGTGAAAGCGAGAGAGAGAGAGAGAGAGAGATATTTATAGAGAGAGAGCGCGAACAAAAGCTGAGTTAAAAAAGAGAATTATTAAAAAACACTAAACTTAAAGCGCATTGTTGCTGTAAGCGTGGCATTTGTACTCATAATTTCCAAAGGCAAAGCGAGTAAATTAATTTTTGAAAAGGAAAAAGTTATTTTTTAACTTATAAGCAACAGCACAAGCAACTGCAATCAGCGTGTAACGAGTGACTACCAGCGAGTGACGAGTTGCAGTTTATTGCGTAAAACGTCGCCTGAAAAGTTGACTACGAGTAACGAGTAACGAGGAACGAGTGTGGCAATTAATTGCTTGCAACGTTGCCTGAACTTGTTTATTGCAAACATTGAGTTGGCTTTTATGTTTAGTAAACGATTGATGGATTGACCGACGAATTTAAAGATTGTTTGTTTCTTATTTTACGCTAATTGTGCGAACAAGTGTCTTAGCATTAAAAATAATTAAAATTAATGATTCTTAAAAATAAAAACTAAATAATCTACATATATATATAAACTATATATACAAGAAATATATGTATTATATAAAGATATATATACCTACATAAGTTGGCAGTAAGAAAAGTACTGTTAAAAATATTAATTAGTAAATAACCAGCAAATAGTACCTTTTCATAAACATAAACAAGCAGAAATATATATTCGAAAAGCAGTAACAACAACAACAAAAGCAGCAGCAGCAAAATTAAAAAGCGTTTAACTTGCATATATGTATACAAGCATTAAAAAATTTAATAAAATTCAAGCAAAAGTTTATAAAAAAATTAGCTACAAAAAATAGAAGAACAACAAAAATAGCGGCATCATTAAAATCCAACAGAACTGTGATACTAATATTTCACATTTACATACATATATAGTGCATAACAGTTAAAAAAAGGGATAACAAAAAAATTATTAACAATCGATACAGTAAGTTAATTAATTGACGCATACATTAGGCAACAGAAAGCGTTTAAAATACATGTAAAATAAACTCAAAATAAAAAATAAAAAACGTTTCAAGCTAAAAATATTAAAAATTACAAAAAAAGTAACACAAAATATTACAAATTTATATACACCCATACATACTTACACATATGCACTTATAGTACATACATATGTTATAAGAGGTAAAGAGAAAGCATTTTTGTACAGTTATAAAAATAAAAGAATTGTTATAAAAAAAAAAATTTTGCAAAACGTTTCAAACCCATTAAAATTAGACGCAACCTCCTTGAAATTAAAGCGCAAGCGTAGAAATAGTGATTTTTCTAAAGAATTTGCTAAAATATGTGCATTAAAAACACATAACCTAAAAATTTAAAAAAAATAATAATAATTTAATTTCACAACTTTAATACGCGCCACAATTTAAAGCAAATAAAACAGCAACAATTTTGTTTAATTTAGAAGAAATAACACAACACAACTCCGAAGTGCAATGGCCCCCCTGGCAAAAAATTATTATTAAAAAAAATAAATATTAAAAATATAAAAAACATTTAAAATAAAAAATACTTTAATTATAATAAAATTATAAACTCATAAAATTATAACTTAGTGAATACAAAAACATTTTGTATAAAAAATCACACAAAAGTTAAACAATTATAATTATGACTGCAACAAATTGTTAAATATTTGCAAGTCAAAATAGTGCAACTTAAAAAATAGTAAAACAAAATTTTTTAAATCTAATAACAAGTTTTTTACGCACCCACACACAAATTTAAAAAATATTTTGTACCACAAAAATATATCAGTTTTTCTAATTAAAAAAAAAAAAATAAACACAATTTTTTTTCGCAATGTGTGCGTCAACTATGCCTGTAGTAGTGCGTAGACGCGGACGAAAGCTTATGAAACACGAATTTTGTGCGAACGCTAAAATTTCACACGGCGCGAATGTTTCAAATAATTAAACAATTAACGACTAAGTTAAATAGTTAATAAAACAATTCCCACAAACAAGCAAGCAAGCAAACAACAACAAAAAACAAAAAAGTGAAAACACAAAAAACGAAGCGCTTGCAAAAAAGGGAAGTTACAAAAAGCAAAAAAGGCAGCAAGCGAGCGCGCGCAAGTCGTCAGCAACCACAACAATAAGTAACAACAATAAAAGTCTAATTAAAAATAAAAACACACAAAACACACTTTCAAAGAAAATTAAATAATTCAAAATACTAAAATTGCATTCAAAAGCAAGAAAAAAAAACAAAAACTTTTAAACGCCGAAGAAAATACGAAATTCGAAAGCAAAACCAATAAAACAACATAAAATTTCACACAAACACATACAAGCATACATACATACATACGTACAGGCGTCACTTACTTTAACTGTGTGTGCGCATAAGTCAGCTGGTTAGCAAACAAAACAACAAAAAAAAAACAAAAACAGTAAAGCTTTTCTCACATAACCACATAACTGCAACTACAACAACAAACAACAATAACGAGCAGCAGCCAAGTAGCAAACCTATAAAAGTTACAGTTTCGTAATAATAATAATAAAACATATATAAAACAACAACAACAACAACAACAAATAAACACTGCCAACAAATACGTACACAACCACACTAGCGCGCATAAACAAACATCAATAAATATCTTTAAAAAAAAAAAAGTGCAACTATTAACAACAACAACCAAAACAACAACTATAATGTATACGCAACGTATGTTTGACATGTGGAGCAGTGTTACATGCAAGCTGGAAGCACACGCGAACAATTTAGGGCAAAGCAACGTACAATCGCCGGGACACAACAACTCTAGTGGATCAATAAAAGGTAAAGAAGTGTGTACATAGATAAGTACATATGTAATTATGTATGTATGTATTTTTCTATACGAGTACATACTCGTTTATAGACCACCATTAAGAAGGAAAACTAGTATGCAAATACTAGCAAACAGGATTACAATGTGCGGAGAGAATGTTGCCAAAGCGTTGGGGAGTAAAAAGTGTGGGAGGGGGCAGCAGCTACTTTCAACGGGTGGCTGCAGCGGTGTGATGGGTTGTCGTGGGTAGCGTGCCAAATTGCAATTGGCAGCAGAGGTAAGCTGTGTCTAAATATGTGTAGGGGCATGCACCTGCGCCTACGGATGTGGTTTGTGGAAGTAACTTGAAAGCAACATTTAACAAAATGGCTGCAAAGGGCGGAAATTTCCGTTTTCTTTTTTTATAGGATTTTCTTCGTGAAAAGTAATGTAAACAAAATAAACTCAAATCGTTTATGAAAATTAATGAAAATTAAAACAATTTATAAAATAAAGAATAAAACACGTAAAAATAAAAAAGTGATTTTTAAGTAAAAAACACAACCGATTTCAAAGAAGAAAAAGAAGGAATACCGTTAGTTTCTTCATGATCCAGTAAACGGAACTAAACCAAATTAGTTTGGTACCACTTCTTTGAGGTGCCACTTTTTCGATAAAAATTTATCGAAAAGAATTGAGGTGGTCCAAAGTACATAAGAAAATATTCCCAAGAATTGATAACCTCCTCATTGTTTGAAGTAGGTTGAAAAGTCCTAAAGAAGTTTTAGTTTGGGCGAAACCGAAAGAAAAAGGGTGCCACCGTCCAAAAAAACTTGAAACTTACACTTTCTTTATTAAAATTTAACGGACTACAAAACTGCATACCAACATTTTTTCTGAATAAAAAAATTTTAAATTTTTATCGGGCATGTTCTGAAATTCGAAACCTTGAAATCGACTCGAATTGCCAAATAGTTTTTAATTATATCTGATGAAAAGAGTGAATATTCTAATTGAAAACCGTAAAAAAAGCAGCAGCGATATGAAATAAATCATTTTAATGCGAGACTTGTAAATTTTTTGGTTAAAAACCATCGAAAAAATTATCGAAATCGAGTCGATTTAAAATTTTCGAATTTCAGAATATCCCTGTATGAAACTTTCTCGAATTTTTCTAATTTTTTTATAAAGTTCGAAATTCAGACTTACAGCTATATTTTAATAAAAAAATATACATTGAATAAAAAAAAAAATAAAAAATAAAATGTCGCGTCCCTATTTATTTTTCCACCATCGCAAGTGTATCTCCTGTAGACTGGCGGAGGAAAGACCCGCTAAGAAATTCCGACTTGCAGTTTCGATCCGCATTGCTGAGATGGTAAGAGCCTTTGACAAATCTCGTCAGGAATTAAAAATTTTCGTCTATATGCACTTCGTCGTGCGTAAAATTGTACTCTCCTCCATTGGCGTAACAACATCAAGACGCAAACCACAAATTGGAGTGGAAGCTCGGCCAAACACATGGCAAAAGTGTAAGCGCCGTAATGTTATTATTATCAAACTAAATTAGACTAAATTAAAGTTAGTTAGGTTAAAATAAAATAAATAAATAAAATGAATTTAATTCAAATTAATGAAAAAAATTAAAAGATAAAATTTAATTAAATTACATAATTGTAAATTGAAAATTTTGAAATTCAAAAATCATTTAATCGAACGATAATATAAAAAAGTATGCAAAAGCAAAATAAATTTAAACAAAAAAATGTATTATTATGTTAAAGAAAAATTTCTCACACCTTTGAGGTCTTATTTAACTTTCGAAATTACTTTTCACTTAATCTTTTTCACCTTTTCATTAGCAAAATTGAGCGCGAAAGTAAATGAAAGTAAAAGTGCTTGTTTTTATTTATATGTATGTAAGTGCATAAATATGTATATGTACATATACGTAGGTATTTTTATACCTCATTTATATAAAAAACACATAAACACTTAATAAGTCAAAACTTACAAGCAAGTCATTCGGTGAGTCAGTCACGCAGGAAGTTAGTCAGTCAGTCAGTCAGTCAGTCAGTCAGTCAGTCAGCGAATCAGTTAGCCATTGGAAGCAAAAGTCAACAACGATAGCGAAATAATAATTACATCGTCGATGATGTTGCCAAAAAAAAATGAGAAAAGGAAGGAGACACAAAAGAGTAAGGCAGCAGACAGCAAGTCAGTTCGCAATCACTGCTGGCGGTGATACAGATACCCAACGCATTACAGACAGACTAGCATATCACGAATGTGTTTATGTGTATGTTTATATATACATACCATACTTGTACATATGTACATACATATATGTGTTTTATATTGCATTTTGCTCTAGGAAAGCTTTTGCTACTTTCTTATTGACAACGTACATATATATATGTATATATATATATACTGACATATTAAAAATACCAGAAGACTATAGTCTTACTTATATATAAACGCTGCTATCGGCGCATAATAAGAGTGAAAGTCGTCGCTGCCGCATGTTGTTGTTTTTATTTTATTTTATTTTGATTATTCATTGCTCACTGTTGTTGCCATTTGGTTTGGCTGCTGCTGTTTTATATTTATAGTAGTACTGTGCGTCTGCTCTTTTGAAGGGAAATCCATGAAAT